TCTAGCCTGGGGCCTTCACCACCAGACCAGGTCAAGTTGAGAAAGATTCACATCTGAAATTCTGGATAGTCATTGGAGAGCAGTTTAGAAAATGTGAAGACAGTAGTAGAACAGTGGTTTAACTAGCTGTAAGACATTTCCAATTCTAATAATCCCCAGTGTACATTTTTCCTTTCAGGAATGGAAAGGTTGGTTAATAGCCTTGTACTACACAATAACCCTTCCCCTGAGGACTATCTACTTGCTCCTCCTGTTTACCGTTGAAGAATTGTCTGCCAAATTTCAGGAGAATGTTCCCCAAGCTCATTACATCCTAGAAGACCTCAGGCTGGTCCTCTCTGCTCTCAACTGCCTTCAGGAACTCTGCTGGAAAATCTTTGCCCGTGTCTGGGAAAAAATGTCCGAGGAAGAAAACCTCAACGCTGTCTTGAACTATATTGTGCAAACGCTTCCCTTCTGTTTCTTTGCAAATCACTGCAAATGTAGGACCTCCACTGATAGCACGGCAAAAGCTTTAAAGGCCATTCAGAGGGTGCAGGCGTCGAAGGACAGCCTTCTTGGACTGGAATCTGGAATCTCCTCAATAGCAGTGGCCACTTGAACTCTGCATCTGATCACCTGTGGAAGTAAAAAAAGTGTGACGCAGGGGCTTGGGCATATTAAGGGGCTTGGCTCTTAGACAAAATCTCAGGGCAACTGCAAGCTTACAGTAAATACGGAATTGGCTATCTGACACGCGCATGTGTGTTTTTCTTCTCAACCAGCTCTGGGATCCATGCAAACTGTTGGGTGAGAGAAGGAAAAGGAAACCAGAGCAGTACCAGAATCTCAAAGTCCCCGTATTATTTTTGCAAGGCTGAAGGGTGTTTTTCCCACCATTCCTTCCCAAATTAGACATTGCAAAGCATGCTTATTTACAGGCATGGACATTATAGTTATGCAATCTGTCCCACCCACCTCCATCTTGTGAGGTTGAATCCTGGGTGGTGAAAGAACATCGGATGCCCTCCCAAATCCAGACAACGGAGGCTTGTTTATGAAGGAACTAAGCGAGTTCAAAACTTCTTCTGGAACATCAGAATCTGACTTTAAATTGCTTTGACAACGGGTGATGCTAGAATTTTCCAGGCCTGGGAAGGGGAATTAGAATGCTTGTTTATGAAGGAGAATGTAGATATATTGAATATAGCAGAAATCTGATGGAACAGAGAAAAACAGGTGGGTATAGTCATTCCTGGATATTAACTTTATAATGAAGGGTAGGCAAGGGGAGAGTATAAAATCTGACATTCTAGAAAGCAGTGGAAAAGAGATTTTTCAGTGGAATCACTATGGGCAGTAATATTTAACCACAAATGTAAATTAGATCTAGGATATACTTCTACTCACGTGATCCAAAGGTTGAAGGTAATCTTCAAATGGAGGAAGAAAAAAAAAAAAAACAGGAAAGATTTCTTGTAATAATGGGGGGCTTCAGTTATCCTGACATGGATATTCAGACTGATGTCACAACAAAGAAACCAGATTTCTGGAAACCCTAAATGATTATCGTTAGGTGGGGCAAATGATGAAACGTGCTATAATATCACAATACAAATCATCTGTCTAGCATATTTACATCTGATGTCAGGATTCAAATACAAAAGGCTTTATGATGTGACATCATGTTTGCAGCTGGTACCAAATGCCTATAATGATTGTTCCTTAGAAGAGTTGATCTTGGAACCACCTAGGAAAGTTAACCCTACATTTAATCCTAAACACCGCTAAGACAAGGTGCAAGAAGTAAGTGTTATGAAACCAACTGGAAAGGACCTTAATGCTAATTTCAGTTAGCTCACAGGCAAATGCAAACTGCCAGCTGGGTCTAATACAGTCACATTTAACTAGAAAAGGAGAAACTTCTCAAAAATCTGGAGATTGGGATTCAAAAGTCTAATAGAAAAAAATGAAATGGGCTAAATCTGTTCTTGATCCCTGGAAGTTATTAAAACTTTTAACTTTCAGCACATTTAGCAAAGCTTAAATGTACTTCTAACACATTTACAGCCCTCCACACCCCTTAATGACTTCTTGGCAGCCCTTTTGATTTTCCACTCTCCAGCTGACTCCGATTCACCACACAGTTCTTTTGTTCGCAGTTTTCTGCCTCTGGCAGAACTTTCACACTCATCCATTCATGCTCTAAAATATTTATTCTTTAAGTGGTCATCCATGGGCACAAAGGTGATGGTAAATTTCAGAAATCAGAATAAACCAAACGAGCACATAAGCAACTCCGTGCAAATGTTCACTGATCATTATTATCAGAACTTTTCCATTATCTGAGTGACTCCAGACAGGGAGGCTTCAAACAGCTAAGAGAAGATTCTGCAATCCCTACAACGCCCTTATAAAAGGCCTTTTTGCTATTCATCTCTTTGAGGGAGGCCCAGCGAAGCCAACAGTTGTTTTTTTGCTTTCTCCTGAAAGCCTGTAGCACAATCCAAAGAACGCATTTGGGCTCTATATTCTTCAATGCACATGCATCTTTAAATCTTCAATTAAGTTGCGGTCAGAAGAGCATAACTTGCAGGCCAGCGATCCACCAGAGACTTAACAATGAATCAGAAACATGACAATGAGCAGAGGACTCCTCCCACCTTATTATTATTAGCTTCTTGTGAAGGATTGATGGATTGATTACATGCCATCAAGTTGTTTTCAACGACCACATAGATGGATTTTCTCCATAACAATCGATCCCTAACCTGGTCTTTCAAGTACTGTGTGAACGAGGAACCATCGATTAATTGCATTCATAGACCCCCTTTTCTCAGCCTCTAATTTTAGCCTCAGAGCCAATGAGAACCGCCAGGGGTCAAGCCAGACCTTAAACTCAGCTTCGCCTTTGTCCAAGTCTAACACCTTAGCTACCACCGGCTCTCCTAGCCTCTGCTCTAAGCCCTTTGAAGGAAGCCGTTTCAACAGCAAGAATTGTCCATAAATCAGCATGTCCAGTACATTTCCAAAGCACTCAATTGCACACATGTTCATGCTGCCCTGGTTCTTTCGCACGGATCTGGGCATCGAACAAGTCCAGTTAAGGCAATGTTTCTCAACTTTGACAACTTTAAGATGTGTGGACTTCAACTCCCAGAATTCCCCAGCCAGCAT